GTTCATTATATCATGAATGATGTGTAGATCTCCAAAACAACTGGTTGAGACACACACTGCTGGTTCACCTGCATGCTTCTCTTTAGATGTTGTACACTGTTCATTATATCATGTGTGTCATGAATGATGTGTAGATCTCCAAAACAACTGGTTGAGACACACACTGCTGGTTCACCTGCATGCTTCTCTTTAGATCTTGGTCACTGTTCATTATATCATGAATGATGTGTAGATCTCCAAAACAACTGGTTGAGACACACACTGCTGGTTCACCTGCATGCTTCTCTTTAGATGTTGTACACTGTTCATTATATCATTCTCCTCTTGCCATCTAACAAATTACTGGTCATTGTTGCCAAACAACTTGAATTCACCTCCACACAAATGTGATCTTGCTGGTCTGAGGATAATATTCACTCCTATATTTACATCTAGGTCATTAGCAAGATCTCTACTGGATTGTCATGCACATATAAAGTTCATACTGAGTTTCTTAACACCTACTTCTGAAAAGTCTGGGATTAATATTTCTCGTGCTTATATGATCACTTGTGCTAATTTTCTGTACCATCTTCAGTCTCCATATACCTATCAACACATGAAATTTCTCCTTAACCCATCACAGTAAGTAGCCTTCACTAGCTAAAACTTTGATTTCTACACATTCGTTTTTGTTCCATTTTATTCAGTTTCCGATAATGTAAATCGGTTCAGAGACCTGTGGTAGTCACTAGCAAATGGTCAAAACTTGGCCAGAACAGCAGACAAGCTACATCAAGAACTATCTGACCTCTGAATGCAAGTTTTTGTTTTACATTAGCTGTTATTTATCTACACATTAAGTACACCATTAAGACATTTTAATACTTCTCTTTCATTACTTTTGTAACAACCATAAAGCTAGCATTACCTAGTAAAGATATACTGAACTCTGTCAACTGAGCTTCCATTTCGTGGAGTTTCAAGCACTGTAACCAACATTTCATACCCTTTCTTACACTTACTCTGCTAATTTCTTTCTTTGCTAGAGCTGTCCACAGCCGCCGTCTCTTCATTGCCATGACTGCATCATGATTAGCTGCACTTTTCTTTTTGGAGTGAGATTTTTGGGATGTAGGTTCTTTTTGTCCATCCTCAGATGACTTCTGTCGCAGTTTCCCATCTTTTGAACTAGAAGCAGTCTCAGCTGCTTCATGTAGTTCATACTAATAGACACAGAAATATAAATCATTATAGATTCACTTTCACACAGGACAAAATAATTAATATACTGATTTCGACAAAAGAACAGAACTCTCAAGATGTTTAGGTGTATACGTTATATCAGTATCTTCACCACTAGAAACTGCATTATCTCTCATTTTTTTTTGAAAAAGACAATTTTTTACCATAACTTACTGATTTAAATAACAGTTGTGACTACTTTACAGTTCCGTGTCTTTTACTGAATTAAATAACACTTGTGACTACTTTACAGTTCCGTGTCTTTTACTGAATTAAATAACAGTTGTGACTACTTTACAGTTCCTGTGTCTTTTACTGAATTAAATAACAGTTGTGATTACTTTACAACAGTTGTGA